TCTGGCTGTGACAGTTCCTCAGATTTTTCTCAGTTTTCCTTGAGTTTTCAGGAGTGCTGACCAGGTACTCCGTAGAACACCCCTCTACTGGAATTTGTCAGATGTTTTTCTCATGATTAGACTGGGATAATGGATTTTGGGGAAGAAAACTAGAAAACTGATTTCCTCACATCATACCAACAGTACAAACTATAAAAATGACTTAACACTGTTGATGCTGACTTTGATCACCTGGCTTTAGGGTTCTCCACTGTGTGAATCCACTCTCAAGGAGTGGAAAGTTAGACTCCACATCCTTGAGGATAGAGTATTTACTAAACTTTTTGGAATTATTCTGCTCAGGAGGTTGCGATGGCGTTTTTTTGTTTTTGTTTTTTGCAGTTGTTTTTTCAAGATGGAGTCTTGCTCTGTTTCCCAGGCTGGAGTGCAGTGGCATGATCTCAGCTCACTAAAACCTCCACCTCCTGGGTTCAAGCAGTTCTCCTGCCTCACCCTCCTGAGTGGCTGGGATTACAGGTATGTGCCACCACACCCAGCTAATTTTTGTATTTTTAGTAGAGAGACGGGGTTTCACCATGTTGCCCAGGCTGCTCTCCTGACCTAAGGTGATCCGCCTGCCTTGGCCGCAGAAAGTGCTAGGATTACAGGCATGAGACACTGTGCCTGGCTGCGATGGTGGTTTTAAACCACTAAGTTTTGAAGAGATGTAACAGACACTAAGATATCTGAAATACACTAAAATTTTCCACCATCTCCCACCACATGTTACCTTTTACATGCTATGCACAGTTCCCTCTGCTTATAACAGCCTTCTCCGCATCACCCATCCAACAACAAACCAACAAAAACCATGAAATCCTTCTTCCTACAATACCCAGTTCAAGCATTCCCTCTCCATTGTGGAGCTTCCTTCCAGAAAGAATTCATTGCTTTGACCTAGGCAGGTTATTTAATACCAAGATCATAGCCTGTATAGCATGGTCACCTCCCTCAACCAGATTAAAAGTGCCCAAAATGCAGAGACGACGTCTTACATAAATAACTTTGCATGCCTGTACCTACGACATCAGCAAATAGTAGGGCCCAATAAATGTTTGTTGAATTGCATAAACTGAATGGCTATAAAAGTATATCACTTTTGATAATATCTCAATAAAAAGCATAAAAGAGAGATGATACAAATAAACAGCTTAGTTCCAGCATGTGTCAGTAAAGCCACAATAGAACTGAAACATCCCCGTAACATACAGTTCTATCATGTAATAGCGAAAACAGGCAAAGAAAAATGAGCATTGCATTTCACCAGTCAAAGCCACATGTGACAGAGAAAATAGTACCTGTTTTCAGATGAGTGTGATAATATAAGCACATAAATGCCAAATAAATTAGGTCAGGAGTATCTCTCTATGGGAATCAGGCCAATGAAGTACATACATATCCATGCCTCCAGATTTCCTATGGCATCAAATACTTTTTACATAACATAATTTTCTTTTTCTTTTTTTTTTTTTTTTTTTTTTTTTTTTTGAGACAAAGTCTCATTCTGTCATCCAGGCTGGAGTGCAGGGGCATGATCTGGGCTCACTGCAATCTCTGCCTCCCAGGTTTAAGTGATTCTCCTGCCTCAGCCTCCCAAGTAGCTAGGACTACAGGTGCATGCCACCATGCCTGCCTAATTTTCGTATTTTTATTTTATTTTATTTTATTTTTTTGAGATGGAGTTTCACACTGTCACCCAGGCTGAAGTGTAGCTCACTGCAGCCTCTGCCTCCTGGGGTCATGTGATTCTCCTGCCTCAGCCTCCCGAGTAGCTGGGATTACAGGCACACGCTACCATACCCAGCTAATTTTTATAATTTTAGTAGAGATGAGGTTTTGCTATGTTGGCCTGGCTGGTCTCAAACTCCTGACCTCAAGTCATCTGCCTGCCTTGGCCTCCCAAAGTGCTGGGATTATAGACACGAGCCACTGTGCTGAGCCGCAGAACATAATTTTCATATTTAACCTCTGAAAGTGTGGAACAGTAAGACAGATCCATGAGTAATTCTGTTAATTCGATTCAATTTTATCTCTCACATACACAACAGGGAAATTAAATAAGCCCTGAAGTGGTCCTTGGGAAAAATGTAAGAAACAGTCACTGTTCCTTCAAAGGATATGTTCAGGGGTGTCTGAAGTTTTACATTAACAATAACACTGTCAACTTGTCTCCCTTCAGCATTTACAATAGAAGCTTTCACTACAATAGCAGAACTCTTCTTTGAGAAATTTGTTAGGTCATACAAAATTGCATTCTGGTGACCATTCAGCGAACAAAAGCTAGTTCTAAACTGATGTGAAATTTAACATTCTTTCTTCCTGCCTCCATGTTAAGTGGTTGGAGTTCCGAGAATTAAAACAAATAAAGAATAAATAATAGTTTAAGAAGTCAATTCCGTGTGTCAGCACCCAGCACAGTTCCTGGCACACAGTAGGTGCTCCATAAATATTTGCTGAATTAATCAGAATGAGAGAGGAAGGGAGGAAAGGAGGCAAAAATAAGGAAAAATAGAACACTTGTGCATAATTCAAGAACGATCTATAATCTATAATCTATTTACCATAGAAACCATCACCTGCACCGGGCGTGGTGGCTCACGCCTATAATCCAAGCACTTTGCAGGCCAAGGTGGGCGGATCACCTGAGGTCGGGAGTTCAAGACCAGCCTGACCAATATGGTGAAACCCTGTCCTTAAAAAAAAAAAGAAACCATCACCTGCTTTATATCTTTCTGGCAGAGAAAAAAAAAAAAAAACCTCCCTAAACTCAAGAGGTCAAAGTCTACATTTCCCAACTCCCAAAGAATATATAATCTTAATCCATCTCTGAACTTCAATAAACATCTCTCTCCAAGAAATGTTACGGAAGATGTTGCACAGTTTCAGAGAACATCTCTTCAAGAGGAACAGCAAAATTCACTTCCTCCAGTAAGGCTTCCATACCAATCCTGTCCATCCATAAGCACTCCTGACTTCTGCTTGCACAGCTTACCTGGGTATTCTGTAAACCATATTGACCCTTCATTCATTTGTTAACTATTCTTGGCACCTTCTCTACAACTGCAGTCCCAAGCCTTTCCTCTTAATAGGACATCTAAACTTGCCATTTCAAGTCTTCAATTACAATGACTTCTCTTTCTTTGTTGAGACAGAGTCTTGCTCTGTCACTCAGGGTAGAATGCAGTGGCACAATCGCGGCTCACTGCAACCTCCACCTCCTGGGTTCAAGCCATTCTCCTGCCTCAGCCTCCCCAGTAGCTGGGATTACAGGCATGTACCGCTATGGCAAATTTGTGTACTTTTAAAGATGGGGTTTCACCATGTTTGCCAGGCTGGTCGCAAACTCCTGACCTCATGATCTGCCTGCCTCGGCCTCCCAAAGTGCTGGGATTATAGGAGTGAGCCACCATGCCCAGCCAACAGCTCTCTCTTTTTTTTTTTTTTGAGACAGAGTTTCACTCTTGTTGTCCAGGCTTGAGTGCAATGGCGCAATCTCAGCTCACTGCAACTTCCACCTCCCGGGTTCAAGCGATTCTCCTGCATCAGCCTCCCGAGTCGCTGGAATTACGGGCACATGCCACCACGCCCAGGTAATTTTGTATTTTTAGTAGAGATGAGGTTTTTCCATGTTGGTCAGACTGGCCTTGAGCTCCTGACCTCAGGTGATCTGCCTGCCTCGGCCTCCCAAAGTGCTGGGATTACAGGCATGAGCCATTGTGTCTGGCCCCCACCACTCATTTTTTGAAAATAATTTAATTTCTCTTTAACTCATAAAATTTGGTTTCTGCACCTCCTACTCCAATTAAATAGCACCCTTGAACACCAATAAGTTATTTTTAGAAACTATCATAGAAAATTTAAAACATGTACAAAGTAAATACAAATAAACCCCTATGTACCCATCATAACACTTCAATAGCTGTCAACATTCTACCATTCCTGCTTCATCTACACTTCCAAGTACTCTCCACCCCATTTGATTACACAAGTTTCACCAGCTACAAACGTACCTACACTGTAACTATTTTTATTGTAAACTATTGCACCCCTATCAGACAGGGAACCTCCCCATCTCCCCAGAAAGTTTTCTCATATCCTTTCTCTTTAATTAGTTCTTAAACAAATCCAGGGGACTTTTCTCACTTGTCAACCTCCTTGATTCTTGATCAGAGGTTAGTGAATGAACCTTTTTCTTGAAATTCCCCTCTTGATTTCTATGATGCGAAAGGATCCCAATTCATCCTAAAGTCACATCAGTGTTAGTGCCAAAATACATCTCAAGTCTGTCTTTCCTCCACTTCCAGCTCCACCCATGAATGTAGTCCACCCCTTCTGTCTTACCAGAAGAGCGGCTGCACATGCCTTCTCACCGCTCCCTGCTTCCACTCTTATGTCTTTCCAATCCGCTCTCCGGACAGCAGCCGGAGACGTTTTTGTTTTTTATTTTGAGACGGAGTCTCACTCTGTTGCCAGGCTGGAGTGGAGTGGTGCTATCTCAACTCACTGCAACCTCTGACTCCTGTGTTCAAGTGATTCTCTTGCCTCAGCCTCTCAAGCAGCTGGGACTACAATGTGTACCACCACGCCCAAGTAATTGTTTTATTTTTAGTAGAGAAGGGGTTTCACCATGTTGACCAGGATGGTCTTGATCTTCTGACCTCATGATCCACCTGCCTCCGCCCCCCAAAGTGCTGGGATCACAGGCGTGAGCCACCCCACCTGGCCAACTGAGTCATGTCTTAATCTGCAAATCCTGCCAGGTGTGGTGGCTCCCGCCTGTAATCCCAGCACTTTAGGTGGCGGAGGCTGGCACATCACCTGAGGTCAGGAGTTCGAGACTGGTTTTAGTAGAGAAACCCTGTCTCTACTAAAAATACAAAATAAGCCGGGCGTGCATGGCACACACCTGTAATCCCAGCTACTTGGCAGACTGACGCAAGAGAATCACTTGAACTTGGGAGGCAGAGGTTGTGGTGAACCAAGATGGCACTATTGCACTCCAGCCTGGGCAACAAGAGGGAAACTCCATCTCCAAAAAAAAGCAAATCCTACCACATCACTCCTCAAGTGAAAAGCCTTCAATGGCTGCCCTGTGCATGGAGAATAGGTCCACGGTGCACACTGTGACCTCTGAGGCCTTGCAAGGTCTCTGCCTCTCTCTCTAACCTCCCGTCACACTTGGTCCACAGGTTTCTGAGAGTTCTTGGAAGAGGCCACAGGCTTCTGCAGCTGTTTCCTGTGTCTAGAACACTGTTCCTCCAGCTCTCCACAGAGCTGGCTCTCTTGCCCATTAGCTTCAGCTGCAATGTCCCCTTCTCAGAGAGACCTTCCTTGACTAGCTACACTTTTCCTCCCAGCTGCCCTGCATGACATAACTTATTTTATTTTCTTGATAGTACTTACTATCATCTATAATTATTATCTTTATTTATTCATGTCTCCCACTAATATGAAACCACCTTGAGAGTAGGAACTATGTCTTTTTGGTTCATTGTTGTATCCCATGATAACACGTGCTTAAGAATTACTTATTGAAGGTCAGGCTCGGTGGCTCACACCTTAATTCCAGCACTTTGGGAGGCTAAGGCGGGAGAATCACTTGAGCCCAGACGTTCAAGACCAGCCTGGGCGACACAGCAAGACTCCGTCTGTACCCAAACACAAACAAACAAAAAAACCAAAGAGCCAGGTGTGGTGGCACACACCTGTGGTCCCAGCCACTTGGGAGGGCTGAGGTAGGAGCGCTGCTTGAGGCCGAGTGGTTGAGTCTGCAGTGAGGCGTGAGCTGTGATCACACTACCATACTCCAGACAGTGACAGAGCAAGATCCAGTCTCAAAAAAAAAAAAAAAACAAAACTATTGAAAGAAAGAAAAATCAGCTCAAAATCACCATTTGATAGAAAATTCTCTACTTTTCCTCAAAACCTGCTACCTTTCCTGACAGCTTTCTGTTAACAGACACCCACAAACTATGTAACCACAGCACACTGGCAAATTCCAGCCATACATGAAATCATTCCAAATATAAGATTCTGTTGATTAATTTACAAGCTCTTGGTACTATGCTCCTACCTGAGTGATGAAATCATTCGTACCCCAAGCCTCAGCATCACACAACATATCCATGTAACAAACCTGCACAGGTACCTCTGAATTTAAAATAAAGCAAATAAAATTTATAACAGAAGGGCATCTAAAAATGATCAGTGACTGCCTCTGTGCAGCCTTTTAACTTTATATACTTCTGATGTTTTAATTTTTTATAAGCATATAGTAACTTTCATAATAAAATTTAAAAGACATCAGTACACTAAAATTTAATTATAAAGTTCTCTGTAGTTAAGTAAAATTGTTTTAAATTAGCATATAGCATTAAAAAGTATACTGAAAAGAAAAAATATTTCTCAATCTTAGGTTAGGTTCTAATTTAAATCAATCTAATTTTCAGTCACATAAAACAAAACACCCATTCTACTCATCCACAGCCTCTACTGTTCAATTTCTACCCAAACTGTACCTTTCAGTAATTTACTGACCTTGGAACTGCTTTCTTCCGATACTTCTCCCTCATTGGTTTGCATGGGAACAGATTTTGTGCAAAACTCTGCAGAAACACAAAAATACTGCCTAAAAGAGAGAAGAGAAAAAGTATGTAAGGAATTCAGGGCAAAAATTTGTTTTTTTCAGAAGTTTAGACTGAAATTCTCTCAGTAAGACCATGGATACTGTGAAATAACCTTAAGTAACGTGTGTGTGTGTGTGTGTGTGTGCGCGCGCGTGCGCGCGCACATGCATCTTAAAGGTAAGAAAGAGAGGACTGGACGCAGTGGCTCACGACTATAATCTCAGCACTTTGGGAGGCCAAGGAGGGCAGATCACAGTCAGGAGTTCAAGACCAGCCTGGCCAAGATGGTGAAACCCCATCTCTACTAAAAGTACAAAATTAGCCAGGCGTGGTGGCAGGTGCCTATAATCCCAGCTACTCAGGAGGCTGAGGCAGGAGAATCGCTTGAACCTGGGAAGCAAAGATTTCTGTGAGCCGAGATCATGCCACTGCACTCCAGTCTGGGTGACAGAGTAAGACTCTGTCTAAAAAAAGAAGTAGGGAGGGAATTTTTCCCATCTTGGGGGAGAAGGGTAAGGAGGAAAGGTTTCCAGCATTGGGATATTAACAGCTCTAGATTTCTCTATTTTATTTGGCTTTTGGCAGAGGTGATGGTGAAATACAGCAGACAGTGACCTGCAAGAGAGTATGCCAGTGAGCAAAGCAGCACACTTGCTGTTACAATGCCGCATGTCACACTGCCTGGGTAATAGGCTAAGGCTATTGGAACTGGCAGCGTTTCTGTTTATAATTTATGAATAATGTTCTTGCTTTCTTTATAACTGAAATTAAGGTACACTATAATGGCTGGCCCCGCTTTTTATTTTTAGGAAATGTGCTTAATAAATTAAATGTCAGTTAATTTATTTTTATATGAGACTATTTATAGGGCCACATTGTAAAAAGTAATTAATTTTTCCTCGAAGAATAAAATGAGTCAAGAAAAAGTTTGTTAAAATTTTATGAATAAAATGTGCCAAAAGGAAACTACTAAAAATTTATGCAACATTTTCATGAATTCATTTCATATGTAATTATTGAAGAAAACAATTTTTTTTTTTGAGACAGAGTCTTGCTGTGTCACCCAGGCTGGAGTGCAGTGGCGTGATCTCAAGTCATTGCAATCTCTGCCTCCCAGGTTCAAGCAATTCTCCTGCCTCAGCCTCCCAAGTAGCTGGAACTACAGGCACCTGCCACCACACCCAGGCTAATTTTTGTATTTTTAGTACAGACAGGGTTTGACTGTATTGGCTAGCCCAGTCTTGAACTCGTGACCTCGTGATCCACCTGCCTTGGCCTCCCAAAGTGCTGGGATTACAGAGCTATGGAGCCAGCCCTATTGAGGAATAATTATTCAAATGACACAAATCTCCATTATAATACAGGTACAAATATTTACAAACCTATCAGATACTTTAAAGCTCACAGCTACAAAACATAAAAGCTAAAAAGGGCCAGGTGCAGTGGCTTATGCCTGTAATCCCAGCAATTTGGGAGGCTGAAGCAGGTGGAACGCTTGAGCTAAGCAGTTTAAGACCAGCCTGGGTAACATGGCGAAACCCCACCTCTACCCAAAATACAGAAATTAGCCAGCTGTAATGACACACATATGTAAGCACAGTTACTCAAGAGGCTGAGGTGGGAGGACTGCTTGAGTCCATGAGGTCAAGACTGCAGTGAGCTGTGATTATGCCACTGTACTCCAGCCTGAGCAACAGAGACCCTGTCTCAAAAAAAAAAAAAAAAAAAAAGCTAAAAAGATGCTGGTAGTGTATTTTTTTTTACATGCAAGAAAAATCTATTAATGTGCCAATGCCTGATGATCTGTTTTGGTGCAGGCTTCTCTGTAACCAGCCAAGCCTCGAGGCTAAGAAGGCACTTCCAGGAAGCTGTTTCCTCACCTGCTAGGTGGGAAGGGGTTACCAAAATAACTACTTTGCTCACCTAGCAAGGTCTTCTTGGGAACAAATGCATACTTATGTGATGTGAAGTGTAAAATTAGTACAGTAGAAGCTCTCAATTGGTATCCATTCACTCACTTCCAGATTAATCAACATTGCCCATTCCCTCTGTATAACACATGACTGATGCTCACAGCAAGTGAAATCAGGCTTTCTCTAGTTGATTTTGTCCCTCACCTGTTTATGATAGTTGTACAAAAAATGTTCTTCATGAAAATTAGGTTGATAGCATTGGAAAAACTCAATAACATATCCAGAAAGATTTTATGTGTAATTCGCTTCACAGATGTCTTTAAGTTCTCCTACTTCAGGGAAACAGAGATTGCATTTCATAGATGATGCATTACAAGCAGAGCTGAACCAGAAAAACTCCTTGGAACTCCATTCATGCTTGCAGGCCTACGCTCAGGACACTCCTTGGTTTGGAGCTGTACCGTCTGCTGGCCCCTCCAGACCCACCACACTCCATTCTCTGCCTGACTGTGTGCCCCAGGGGACACCATCATTGGGCTCCTGTATCTTCTGGCCGCTGGCTGGGCTAAATCACTGGGAGGCACTGACAATATACAGGAGGCAAGAGAGGAAGAAGGGATGTTGCTCTGTCACCCAGGCTGGTGCACTAGCACGATCTCAACTCACTGCAACCTCCACCTCCCCGGTTCAAGCGATTCTCCTGCCTCAGCCTCCTGAGCAGCTGAGACTACAGGCACACGCCACCGTGCCCAGCTAATTTTTGTATTTTTAGTAGAGATGGGGTTTCACCATATTGGCCAGGCTGGTCTCGAACTCCTGACATCGTGATTCACCCACCTTGGCCTCCCAAAGTGCTGGGATTACAGGGGTGAGCCACGGCGCCTGGCCTGGCTGTTCTATTTTTCTTAAGTCTCTTTCCAGCTTACTTGCCTGGCTAAATTAGTTCTTTCTGTGACAATCACTGCTATTTCCCCTCACTGACTCCTTCTCCCTACCCTCAACACTGAACACTGACATCTCTCCTCCCCTATTCTATCCTCTCCTCTCCCAAAGGCTTTAACCAAGACTTCTGCCCCTACTCTCACTTCTTAAAATCCATCGTCTCAAAAAAAAAAAAAATCCATCGTCTCCTAATAAGATCCTACCAAGGCCCAATTCTGTCAAGACCCAAGTCTTTCCTTCCCTACTACTCCAGCCCTCAATTTTCCAACATGTTAGAATAGAAATAGAGAAACCAACAAAGGCTACTGAACCACCCAGCAGCTGACAACCGTGGGGAACCATACCATTGCTAGGCCTGAAGGGGAGGAGCAGTGACTGGAACCTGGAGGGGGAGCTGTGGTAGTCACTGAAGAGTCTGACAGACCTGAATGCTTTCTGATGTGGGACCTTTAGGGAATGACTCAATTTTGTCTCCGCCTCAGTTTCCCTTTTAAAACTTGGGAATAATAGTTATTCTGGGGATTCACTGATAATATATTTGCATTTGATACATAATAGGTACTTATAAGTATATGGTGATGACCAACTCACAAAGCATTCTCTACTCTGAATTCTTATTATTTCAGGGTACAATCCCCAGTGAGCTCCATTTCCCTTTGGACACGCTGCGAGAGGGGAATGCTTCTTCCTGGCTCCTGAGTTTCCACCCTTGGCTCCTCTCCACCTGCACAAAATCCACTCTAGAGAAGGTAACAGGATCTTACTTTAACGGTGAGTTTGGAAGGAGAAAAAAGGTATGTGGAGCTCAGCCCTTTCTTTTCCTTCCTTTTGGAAGCCAGCTGCCCCGAGGAGCACGCATTCTCCTCTGGTCCTCCACCCATAAATGCAGGACCCTCACAACTACCCATGAGTAGGTCAGTCTGTGGAATTATCAAGTTCGGTGTTAAGTTCACTGGCTGGTAGATGTGTCACATTCTCCAATACAGCTGCTTTTTTAAGCCTGGCCCCTCCGCCCAGCAGCACACACAGTGGTAGTGGCAGCAGAACAGGTGGTCCAATACCGCTTTAATAGTCAGAGAAACAATATTTTGGTCTCCCAAATGCCCTCCTTTTAAAAAGGAGGGAAAAATTATAAGTGTAACAATTATTCACTGCATATAAGCTTTTAAAAGGAGGACATTTCAGAGACCAAAATATAGAACCCAGTCAAGGGAGGGAGAATGCTATTTACTGGGTCTCAGAGATCCTAACCTCTGGTGCATGGCACTACAATTATGATAAACAGGCACGAAGTAAAATTCAAGGCAGTAAAATACATGTGGCGTTTCTGAGGCTTCCGTGAAGGCCAGGACTTTGGGTCTTGGACTTTAATGAGGCGGCACAGTATTTCTTGTAGAAGCTTGTATTAGGCTTTTTACTGTTGTTTTTATAGTTACACACTAGCTTTTAACTATTGAGGCTGAATTAGAAATTTATAAACCATAGGCACACAGTATTTTGACCTCAGCAGTGACTGTAGTTATGGCAACTTTGTCTTCACGTAAGTGGCTGTTTCTATAGAGACAAAGCTGCATGCACTAGGCACATAAGCCTTAGCAAAGGGTTGGGGGCTTTGCAGGCCTTATCAAGAAACAAGCCACAGGCAGTTGTGGTGGTGGTCGTGGTGACGCTGGTATTAAAGCTCATTTCAACATCAGCTGTGCAGGCAGCCTCAGTATACGCTGGCCGCTCAGGCCTAGCAAGCAAATGCCAGCAGTGCTGGCCTCAGCAAAGGGAATAGAGCATTAGCGGGCTTGGGTGTCTTCAGTGTTCAAAAGGCTGCTGCTTGACCTTGAATTATGCCGGCACAGCTTTTCCTAAGCAGGCATGGCTGAGGAAAGATTAGAATTCAGGGAAAACAGACTGTCTTCCTACAGGCCTTTCAGACGTCAGAAAGTGGAACAATTACTTGCTGCATATAAGCTGCAAAGCAGCTGAATTTCAAACAGCACACATGCATTACAAAACCAGTGAACTTCTACGTTTCAGTTGCTTGTGCTAGGCTTACCTGGGTGATTCAAAAGGAAAATGAAAATTAAGAGGTTTCTGACTATAAATAGAAGGAAGGGAGGGAAGAAAGGAAGGGAGGAAGAAAGGAAGGACAGATGGATGGACGGACAGACGGACGGACGGACGGACAAACGAAGACTTGCATAATCTAGACTTACCGGTTAAGAACAAAGCATTAAGAAACAAAAGCTGAGGAATGTGAGGGGAGGAAAACTTTTTTCCCCGCTCTTGATGCTTCCTTCCGCATGGGACAATACCCAATTTTTAATATTCCTGGACTTATCATATCCCTGACTCAGGCTGCCAGGGGTGACAGGACTTCTCTGATTAGTGCGTCTGGAAGAAGAAACTAGACTTGCAAAGTCCAGCCCTGTTCTCTCCCTTTTCCTTTGGGGGCACCTGTTATGCTCTGCTCCTTTCCTCTGCTAGGAGGCAGGTCTATCCCAGACTAGTGTTGCTGGGTGAATAAACCTGCTAAGTCCTGCAGTTTAGTATTAAAAAGTCTATTTGCCCTTAGATGTAAGCCAGTTCTCCTATGGAAACTTTATAAGTGATAAACGTGAAATTTTGATCTCCACCTACTTGCCTTGCCCCTTTGTCCTATGTCTCTGTAGGTTCAGAACTTGAGCAGGGAAGAGAATATTATTTATTAGATACCCTTTGATCTCAACTTTTATCTGAAATGTATTCTCCTCAGAATTAAGTTCAGTTTTCTATATCAGCCTATATTCTCCTGCCTCAGACTACCAAGTGACTGGGATTACAGGCATGTGCTACCATGCCAGGCTAATTTTTGTATTTTTTTTTGAGACGGAGTTTTGCTCTTGTTACCCAGGCTGGAGTGCAACGGCACGATCTCGGCTCACCGCAACCTCCGCCTCCTGGGTTCAGGCAATTCTCCTGCCTCAGCCTCCTTAGTAGCTGGGATTACAGGCACGCGCCACCATGCCCAGCTAATTTTTTGTAGTTTTTTAGTAGAGACGGGGTTTCACCATGTTGACCAGGATGGTCTCGATCTCTTGACCTCGTGATCCACCCGCCTCGGCCTCCCACAAGTGCTGGGATTACAGGCGTGAGCCACCGCGCCCGGCCAATTTTTGCATTTTTAGTAGAAACAGCGTTTCACCATGTTGGCCAGGCTGGTCTCGAACTCCTGACGTCAAGTGATTCAGCCACCTCAGCCTCCCAAAGTGCTGGGATTATAGGTGTGAGCCACCGCGCCCAGCCAACACAAGTGTTTAGTTTCTGCTTCCACTTCACCTTGGAGCAGTCACCAGTTTGTGACCTATGGTAAGTAGTGAGTCGTCTTGACCTGACACAGTCATGACAGGACTCAACAAATGTTAATGACTAAATACAAGTAATGTCCTACCTGTGCAAGTTCTTCCAGGAAAATTGACAACTATGTTAATATTTTTCAAAGCCCTCCAGCATCCAGCCCACACCTGCATCTCCAGCCTCATCTGCCTGGTCTCTCATTCTTTTGTTCCAGCCATAATGAACTTCTTACAGCTTCGCCAATATGGCAGATTGTTTCAGGCTTCCATGTTTTTTGTTGCTATCACTCCCTTTGCTGCAAAAAGGGGACTCCCTAATTTTCAATCAAGGCTCAACTTCATTATGAACTATTTCCTGATTCATCTCTAGGCAGAAGTGATGATCCCTTCCTCAGTGCCCCTACTGGATCTTGTTTGAATTCTATTATGGGATCTGTAACACTTTATTGGATTTATTTACTCCTTTAGATTCCTCTATGTGATAAGGATTAGACTTGTCAACCCCTTGATACTAGGCACTAAATCTTGTTGATCTCTGTATTCAGTCTACTTAAAACTGTGTACCTGGCATTTAATAGGTATTCAGTAAATTTCTAGGTAAGAATGACTGAATTAATCAACTGAAATGCTTTTTATTTAAAATGCAACAGGTATCAATTCAATAAACATTTACTGTGCCTCTACCACATGCCAGATGGAGCTGGGATAGTGTGTTATGCTGGAATGAGCTGTGGCTTTAAAAATGTAGAATCATTCTTGTCAGTTATTAGCTGTGTGATCCTGGGTGAGTTATTTAACTTTCTAATCCTGAGTATTTTCATCCATAAAGCCGTGCAGGAAGAGGTGTTATAAAGATTAAACAATGTGTGTAGAACTCTTGGCAAGGTGTCTAAGAGCATTTTATTTCTCTACACTACTGAGGCTGAACTGGAGGTTCATAAACCATAGGCCACACAGTATTGTGACTTTAGCAGTGACTATGGTTATGGCTACTGTCTTCTGGTAAGTGGCTGTCTCTATAGAGACAACATGCATACATTAGGCACATAAGCTGAGCAAAGGGTTGGGGAAAAATCCATCATTAATTTCTCATCCTATCCCTGGACCCCTCATATTAGCTCATCGGCAAGTCCTATCATTTTTGCTTTCAAAATTTGTTTCTCAGATCCACCCATAATTCTTCATTTTCACTGCTGTCATCCTTTCTTGCTTGTGGGGGCCTCTTTTAGGCATTAAAAATAGGTTAGCTCCTTTACAAGCAGTCTCAAAGGGTTTATCTATTAGTAAAGGAGACAGACACAAATAAATCACTTCAATATAAAATACTGAATAATTTATTACTGTAATAACAAAAGGTGCTCTTACAACACAGATGAAAAAGAAATTCTGCCAAGGGAGTTTGGGAGAAGAAGACAACAGGAAAAACACAAAGAGAGTAGACAGTCACGTTCCCCTCCCCGCTTCCAAACTCTAAAAAGAGAAAAGCATCAACCAAGGCACAATGCCACGAAAAAAAATATATATATATATATATATCTAGGGAACAGAAAATGGTCCGTTAAGGCTTACAGATAAGGATTCACTAAAAAAGCAGCCAGAAATGTTGGCTGGAATTAGGTTTTGAAGGGATCTGAAGGACAACATCTGCAGCAACTGGATGCCATGAGAGCTCTTTAAGCAAAGGCATGACCTGAGTAAATCTACCATTCAGAAAGTGAACTCTGGCAGTAATGTGGACTACAGACCATAGCAGGGAAAGGCTAGAGACAGAGAAACTGGGAGTACACTCACATAAAGCATTAAACTCACATAATCGTAGTAACTAAGTTGTAGCTTTCTAGGATGAGGCACCAAATGTCTATCCATCTAAAATATCAGTGCTTTTTTTTGTTTGTTTTTGGAGACAGAGTCTCACTCTGTCACCCAGGCTGGAGTGCAGTGGTACTATCTCGGCTCACTGCAACCTCCTCCTCCCAGGTTCAAGCAATTCTTCTGCCTCAGCCTCTTGAGACTGGTGGTGGCACGCACCACCACGTCTGGCTAATTTTTTTTTTTTTTGTATTTTTAGTAGAGACGGGGTTTCACCATTTGGCCACGCTGGTCTCGAACTCCTGACCTTATGATCCGCCTGCCTTGGCCTCCCAAAGTACTGGGATTACAGGTGTGAGCTACTGCACCCAGCCAATACCAGTGCTTTTTAAAGGGACCCATATAGTAGGAAAACAAGGGGCTGCTGTGATGGTCACCTTAAAAATAAAATATCTTTCTGTAAAGACTTGGTAAAAGGGCAACAATGTTCTTTTCTTTTTTTGAGACATAGTCTCGTTCTGTCACGTAGATTGGAGTACAGTAGCGTGATCTTGGCTCACTGCAACCTCCACCTCCTGGATCCAAGTGATTCTCCTGCCTCGGCCTCCTAAGTAGCTCAGACTACAAGTGTCCACCGCCACTTCCGCCTAATTTTTGTA